ACCGAGACACCGCTCCTCTATCCGGCCGCCGCCGCCGCCCTCCTCCTCCTCCACCGCCTCCAGGGCTCCCTTCTCTGACAGCGCCTGCTCCTGCCGCCACAATCTTCCTTCCTTCCTTCCATCTCCATCTCCATCCCTTCCCCTTCAATCTCTTTCTCCTTCCTTCCTTCCTTTCCCCTTCAATCTCCTTCCTTCTCCATCTCCTTCCTTTCCCCTTCAATCTTCCTTCCTTCCTTCCATCTCCATCCCTTCCCCTTCAATCTCTCTCTCTCTCCTTCCTTCCTTCCTTCCTTTCCCCTTCAATCTTCCTTCCTTCCTTCCTTCCTTCCCCTTCCCTCCCTCCCAACATTTTTGAGCAAGGAAGAGTAAGCTTCTCCAGCGAGCATTGCTATATTGTTTTTGTGATTAATCACTATGCTTTAATTATGTGCAATTCGTAACAATGAAAATACACCCTGCATATCATAACAGTAGCAAAATTACAGTTATGAAGTAGCAACGAAAATAATTTTATGGTTGGAGGTCACCATAACATGAGGAACTGTATTAAAGGGTCGCGGCATTAGGAAGGTTGAGAACCACTGTTGTAGATCAACGCCTGGTCAGCCTGGGCCGGTCCGAGGTGCAGCGGGCCGGTCCTTCGCTCTTTCCAGAGCAGGTCCCTGGGCCGGACGGAACCACATAGCGGGCCGCATCCAGCCCCCGGGCCTTGTGTTTGACATGTCTGGGCTAAATACTGTAGAGCAGACATGTCAAACTCGCGACATTACGTGACATCGCGAGACGTATCGGAGCTTTTTCCCCATTGCTGGCAATGGGGTGGGTGCGGTTTCTTGGTGACGCGTCCAGCCGTGGGCTGGCAGTTTGACACATTTAGTGACCGTTCAAAGTTACAACGGCACTGAAAAAAGTGACATGACCGTTTTTTCACACTTCCGACCCTTGCAGCATCCCCATGATCACGTGATCAAAATTCAGATGCTTGGCAACTGGTTCATATTTATGACGGTTGCCGTGTCCCTGGGTCATGTGATCGCCTTTGGCGACCTTCTGACAAGCAAAGTCAATGGGGAAGCCTGATTCACTTAACAGCCGTGTTACTAACTTAACAGCTGCAGTGATTCACGTAACCCCTGGGGCAAGAAATGTCGTAAAGTGGGGCAAAATCCACTGAACGAACGTTTCGCTTAGCCACAGAAATGTTGGGCTCAGTTGTGGATGTAACTCGAGGACTATCTGTAAAGGTCTCTCACCTTATTTTCCCCTCTCCCTAAGGCTTAAAGCAGGGGTGTCAAACTGCCAGCACGCGGGCCGGATGCGTCATACCGAAACCATGCCCACCCCAGCTCCGGCAATGGGGAAAAAGTCGCAATACATTGTGACACGTCACGTGACGTTGCGAGTTTGACACCCCTGGCTTAAAGGAATGGCTTTTTTTCCCAAATCTATGGCACTATCTTGCCCACGGCCGCAAGGGACCTGGGGTTGTGGGGCAGGGTTCTGGCATTAAAGGCAAAAAGGTGCTTGGAGAACATGGATTGGGAACTGGCGCATAAGCACTGTCTACGACTCTTCAAAATAGCCAGGCTTCTTTGCAGATTGTTTAGGCAGCCCCTCTGAAGTTGCAGTGCAGTCTGGACAAAAGATACACTTGGTTTAAGAAATGACAGGCAAAAGTACCTTTTTGCCTTCACACCTGAAATAATTGAGAGTCGTTCCAGGTCAGCCTGATAAAATGCTAAAGGAAAGTAGTATAATTGCTGTGCTTTTGTCCTCCATTGTTTGCGATACATGGTTTGGGGGGCATCAGCCTTCCCTAACTTCCCCAACTCAAGATACACTGGATGACTTCATTATGCTAAACTAGCATCTTATTAGACCACATGCGTTAAGGCTCCACATACTTCAAAAACAAATCAGAAAAAGCACTTTGGACTTTCTGCGACACCACACCTCTCATTAAAATTGTCTGCTTTAACGCTTGAAAAAAATATAGACTCTTAAAGGCCACTTTAGCTGCACATTTATTTTCCCCCCCACTCTCACTTAGAAGCCATTAAAGTGGGAAAATCACTTCAAAATCTCAAAATAGAGACCCTTTTGGAAGGGAAAAGTTCTACTTTATTTAAAATTAGCACTCTGGAAAAATGTAGGGTGTCCATGAGACAACCTGCTCTCAACAGAAGCAATACTGAATTTGGATAGATCAGTTCTCCATGAATTTGTCTTCTAATCCTCTTTTAAAGCCATCCACGTTATGCCCATCATGTCTTGTGATAATAAATTCTATGGATTACTTAGGCCAGACATGTCAAACACAAGGCCCGGGGGCCGGATGCGGCCCGCAAAGTGGTTTCATGTGGCCCGTGAAGCCATCCTGGAAACTGTGAGGGAACGGCCCCTGCTGCCTTGGCCCTGGCCCAGGCCGGCCGGGAGCCAATGTACAATTTTGTGGTGACCATCTATGCTGAAACGCATTCAGTCTTAGCTCCACAAGGCCGTCTAGAAACAGCGAGGAACCAGCCCCTGCTGTGTCGGCCCCGCCCCCTGGGTGCATGCTGGGGAGGTGTCACCCTTTGGGAGGAATGAAGAAATGGACCATGCCTTGGCGCTTGCCCTGGTCCCACCCCCTTCTGCCAGAGACCCTCAGATCTGTCCCTCTCCTGCCCAGGCCCCCACAGGCACCCTTGACGCGAACGATGTAGAGCTGGCTATACCCATCCAATAGGCCACACCCACTCCATCCACGCCCACCCAGTAGGCCACACCCACCCTGGCCGCACCCACACAGGCCCCCGAGGGCAACCACAATGCTGATGCAGCCCTCAATGAAATTGAGTTTGACACCCCTGAGTTAGGCATTGTGGAAAGTTCATTTTAAATCATCTTCCAATCAGCTTCTGTGAATGAGCTCTAGTCGTTCTTCCTGTCCCACTTCTACAGGACATGCATAATTTTATACACCTAAATCAATTCTCCCCCTAATTCATTTTTTTTTAAACTATAGAATCCCAAACTTTCTAGTGTTTTTTTTTTTTTTTTTTAGCAAAGATGTTTTTTGGCCCATCTGATCACTTTAACTGCCTTTGACTTTGTCCTTTTTAGCTCTATTATACCCTTTTTCTACTATGGTGGCTAGAACTGTACACAGTTCTCCTGACATGTAAACACCCCAGATTTGTAGAATAATATCAGTGCTTTCTTGATGATACTTAACATGACTCTTTGCTCTTTCACAGTTCACAAATGAACTATTTACTCTAAATCTAATATCTTTTTTTCTGATTAGTCACAGGAAAAGTTCATACCACACTAAGGCGTATTGGAAACTGGAATTTTTGTCCAAAGTGCACCTATTTGATCTAGTTTTGGTATTTGATTGACTGATCACCTGGTTTAAAGAGATCGTTCCAAAGCTCTTCCTAGCCACTTTTGTTTTCTACCATTCTCACTTGCAAATTTGGTCAGTTCACCGTTTGTTCCTAAATCCACACTATTTACGGACAAATGAAAAAGCACTTCTTCCAAAACAGATTCTTGAGGAACTCTTATTTTTACTTCCATCTACTCAGAATATTGCCCTTTTATTCCTATTTATTCCTTTTGAGTTTTGAACCACTTAACGGTTCATAAAAGAATAGGTGCTCTTATATCATGACCAGTACATTTACTTTGGAGAGACAATGGTTTGGATATATTTATGAAGATACAGGATCAATTACTTTTATATTCAGTGTATCGTTAAATTAACACATGCATTGCAACCCTATTTATAAAGCTTTAGTACCGGTAACTATTTATGACTGTAAGTATTAGACCATCTGCAATTATTCTAGATTTCAGATGAAGAATATTTATGCAAGAATGAGGTTCTGGATATAATTAAACTAACCATAACTAAACTGTCAGGCACAAGAAGCCAGGAGCCAGGATAGAGTTCAAAAGCACTGCAAATTTATTCCATGTAACCTATACACAAGAATCTGACCTACTAAGGGTCCATGCAAATTGGCACTGGATAAGAATCAAGGGACTTCAAGGGAAGCTGGAATTAGGTCTTTTTCAGGGACATATGGATTCCAGACTGATGGTGCGTTTGACCCCACCCTTGGGCTTAGCTTGGTCATTTCCTACATCAATTAGAACCAGTTTGGTCTAGTGGTTAAGGCATCAAGCTAGAAACCAGGAGGCCGTGAATTCTAGTCCCACCATGGGCATGAAAGCCAGCTGGGTGACTTTGGGCCAGTTCATCTCTCTCAGTCCCACAGGCAGAAGTACAGTTATGTATATTTACCACCTTATTTATAAAAAAACAATAAAGGTGCAATAAAAATAATCTATGTAAATAAAAATATAAATGTTCGTTTGTTCAAAATCTTAAATCTCCGAAAGTTCTTCACCGATTGCTTTGAAATTTTGACACAATGTTGCATTCGAATACGCACGTGTTTTTATATACAGTACCTATATTATATAGATGTCACACCTGTGACAGGCAAAAACATGCTTTTTTTGAAAAACAGCGCCATCTGTTGGACATAAAAGCAACACACGCTTTTACCAGACTGAGCCACAGCAGTGCGTGGCTGGGTACAGCTAGTAAATAAATAAATGGACAAAGTATAAGAGTTCAGTCTTTCTCTTTCACTTGTCTTTCTATTTTGGGATAAACAGGGCACAAATCCCTCCAGGTCTCCATCAGATTAAAAGTCCCACTGATAAAATATACTTTTTTGTTGTCGTCCATTTGATTTTTGCCTACACATAAATGGATACAGGAACAACAGTCTGAAAATTATATTCAAGAGCCATACTAGAGTCCTTTTATAGTTTTTTTTTGGGGGGGGGGTGTTTGTTGGAAATCCCACCAATATTTTAGATTCAAACTCTCTGTCTTTCTTGCATTGGAACACCATCTGCAACATATAATTCTGTTGAAGCTTGAGTTTTCTAAAAAGTCCACTAACGTAAGATAAATCAGGATGCAATTTTATACTGACCTTCAAAATTGTTCGGCCATCAAATGATTCCCTTTCTTTGAATGGTTTGCCCATGGCCCGGTTATTTGGTTCTTCAGCTGCAAAATAAATGGGATTTCAAATCAAACCAAGTCAATTCCCGTCCCCATAAATGTGTGTGTGTGTGTGTGTGTGTGTGTGTGTGTGTGTGTTTAAATGCGTAGAGATTATTCTGAATTGTTTTTATCCATTTACTATAACAGCACTTTAAACAAGACAGAAATTTTTCCACAAGTACATTGTCAGAATGCTTAGATTCATCAATATTGTCTTGAGGATTATTTAAGGCTGATAGCTTGGTGTAATAGAATCATCCAGGAGAATCCAGAGGTTAAGATTCAGTGCTCCGTCAAAGCATTTCTCTCATCTCGCTTCCCTGCCCAGCCTTCAAGAGCTGATCATTCTGCAGGCTACAAATTTAAAACCACTGAGAAAACCTGGGTCCTTGGGCCTCTAATCCCTCAAAGCTGCGAGCAAACAAAAGAAGATCAATGACTCCTTAAACCAAGAGTTATTTTTACTCCGCGCGACTGTGGATACTCCTTGCTAGGGTATCATTACCGGTTTTATCTTTAGAATCACAGGTTTTGTGAAACATACTGAGAACTTCATATTTGCTTTTTGAAAAGTATATTTCTAGTTGTCTTGATGGAAGGAGTGCATTCCACTGTGCAGCAAATGTTCATAAACGGGAACGTTACATACAGTTTAACAGTCAGGGAATCAGTTCTTCAGCTCACATTTTTGCTCCTTTGGCTACTATTTTGACTACTGGTAGTCCTTGACTTGCAACCATTCATTTAGTAACTGTTCAAAGTTACAGCGGCACTGAAAAAAGTGACTTACGACTGGTCCTCACAGTTACAACTGTTATTGCATCCCCACGATCATGTGATAAAAATCCAGGCCCTTGGCAACCATCCAACAGTTGCAATGCTGGCAGCGTCATGCAATCGCCATTTGTGATCTTCGCAACTGGCTTCTGACAAGTCAAGTCAATGGAGAAGCTGGATTGGCTTAACGCCTACGTGGATCACTTAACTGCAGAGTTTCGCTTAACAACCATGGCAAAGTCGTAATATCCAGTGCAATTCACTTGACAACTAACTTGCGTAGCAACAGAAAATCTGATCCTAATCCTAATCGTCGTATGTCGAGGTCTACCTGTATACTGATGGTTTTGGCCCTAATCTCCAAAAGATCTCGTTTAAGTCTACTTGAAGGACAATCTTCCTCTCACGGCTTCTGCCTGTCGTATAAGCATGTTCTGGGTCCATCTATAAAAGTGACATCTTAGAGCAGGGGTCTTCAAACTTGGCAACTTTAAGACTTGTGGACTTCAACTCCCAGAATTCTGGGAGTTGAAGTCCACAAGTCTTAAAGTTGCCAAGTTTGAACACCTATCTTAGAGCTTCCAGAAGGTGTGCCTTCTCAGCTGTGGTGCCTTGCCCCAGCACTGTCCCTGATGGACCCACCCTGCTTTCTTTCAAATAGAAACCTGTTTTTTCCCCCAGATCTTGAGCTAGTCCAGGGCATGGATCCACTATGGGATACATCTGGTGTATTTATAGCATATGTTTGTTCTCTCTGTTACAGGAATCGTTTAACCTTGGTTTCTTAACACGTTGTACAGTGCTGTTGCTAACTTTCTACATTACCAAAGCCAGTGATGAATGGGGGGGGGCACTAGAAATCCAAAGTACAGATACAAAATAAATACATCCACTTTTTAATTTTTAACACACACACACATACACAAACCCACACGCGGTATATTATAGAAAGGTTTAAAAGGCACACTGGAAATAGATCAACAAGCCTGTACATCATTCTACTTTTGTCACTCTTTGAAAATCCGAACATGAGTGTGAAAAGTAAAACGTGATCAATAATCTTTAAGATAGTTGTGCAAAAGCCAATCATCTATGCAAATTGTATAGGCAGGATAGGTAAAATTGGGGCGACATAATAACCTTTTCCGTTTTATTTGCAAGGCCCCGTTTCAACAAACGTCTCCTATATCTGCTGTTGTACTCCATAATCTTATCTATAGGCCAGTGATGGCGAACCTTTTAGAGACCGAGTGCCCAAACCGCAACCCAAAACCCACTTATTTATCGCCGGGTGCCAGGTGGGCGTGGCCCACTGGGTGGGCGTGGCTGTGGTGGTCATGGCAGACTGGACGGGCCAAGGTGGGCGTGATCACCTCGATGTTGTTCGTGGGGAGGGACGCCTGTGGGGGCCAGGCAGGGTTGAGGGAGATCCAGGGGGTCTCCGGCAGGTGGGGCGGTGGGCAGGAGGCTCGTCCTGTGGGGTGAGGCGAGGCAGGGTGGGAGTGCCATTGTTGCAGGGCAAGGCGAGGCAGGGGCCGGGGTGGCTGCTGCCTGATACCATCAGCCCCCGCACACAGAGGCCAGCGAGCGCATGGATGCTGGGATGCATCCGGCCATGTGGGACCTCGGCGAGTTAGCGGACAGCTGGTTGAAGAGGGACAGTTGCCATATCTGGGGCATGGCGCGCGTGCCCACAGAGAGGGCTCTGAATGCCACCTATGGCACCCATGCCATAGGTTCGCCACCACTGCTATAGGCATATATAGGGCTGTGTAGTTTTGTACTGTATACAAAAACACACACACACACACACACACACACACGTATCTTAAATTCAAGGTAGTTATATTTACAAATAGATATGGTAAACAGATCATTTGTTGACCATAGCTTGATAGCTCTTTTGTATAACTTCAGGAGATGTCCTTTTACAGCCATGTGCACCAGTTTGCCTTAAGCCCTGCATTGGAATTAATGGTTGCTATTTTTTTAATACAAACAAGCAGCTATTCATATTCAAAACAGCTTTCAAAATTAAAAAGAAACTGCAGCTCAGTAATACTAAGCACACTTAAATGGAAAAGCAGACTCGGTGTACTCAACGGTAATCCTAAATCCTAGCCACGTTTATCAAATCTCTCTTTTAAAAGACAGGAGACAACCTTGACTGAAAAGCAATACAAAATCATAGCTTCTCTCAGACATGAGAGCGTAAGGAAGGAATCACAACATCTGCTGGATATAAAAGGTGCGTCGAACGCTTTAATGAAGGATTCTTCCTTTCCTATTTCGGTTGAGTGCAACCTTAATGAAGGGAACTCACTGTCTCCAGCCTAAAGGTCCTGAAAAAAAAGGATAAATTAGCAATAGCGAACCTAAAGACCATCATAGCAAACGTGGGGATCAAAGCTGCAATTACATTTCTGAAAAGATCTTAATAGAGGCTCACCACTAGGATCACTCCGAAAGACCGTGTTCATAACAGTGGCATGGAGCTTCACTCTATCCCATTCTTTCCTCATCAGTCCAGAGGTCACAAACTGATCCACCAGCCTATCTGCTATGAGCTGAAGCCTAGAGAAGAGAGAAGGAAGGAGAAAAAAAGGCAACGTGAGGCGTTTTTAGTACTTGTACAGGTAGTCCTCAACTTACCACCACAACTGAGGCCAAAATGTCCATTGTTAAGTGACCTTTGCCCCATTTTACGACCTTTTCGCCACAGGTTGTTAAGCGAATCGCCTCAGTTTTTAAGTTAGTAACACGGTGGTTAAGTGAATCTGGCTTCCCCACTGACTTGTCAGAAGGTCGCAAAAGGCGATCACATGACCTTGGGACACAGCAACGGTCATAAATATGAACCGGTTGCCCAGCATCTGAATTTTGATCACATGATGATGATGGGGATGCTGCAAAGGTCGTAACTGTGAAAAACGGTCATACGTCACGTTTTTCAGTGCCGTTGTAACTGTGAACTGTTGTGAGTCGAGGACTACCTGTATTCATGGAATAGATAGTTGAGAGAAGAAATCCAAATTCTTTGGAGAACAATTAAAACATTTGTTACCAAACAGTTGTTCTCAAAACAACAAGTACAGTACACGTGGTCCTCGACGTATAACAGTTCATTCAGCGACTGTTCGAAGTTACAACAGCACTGGGAAAAAATGGACTTATAGCCGTTTTTTCACATTTACAACCACTGCAGCAATCCCACGGTCACGTGATCAAAATTCAGCCTTTGTCTCACTTACCAAGAGAAAGGTTGGGCTCAACTGTGGTTGTAAGCCGAAGACCACCTGTATATCGTTGGGGGAAGACCGTCACTGGAGGAAAACTGGAAGAAATCCAAAGGACTAGAAACCCATTTCAACCGCTGTGCCTAGAATGCAAGCAACCTAGATAGCACATCCTTCACGGAAGCGGAACAAAATTGCATTCCGTGAAGAAAGAGGAGGCTGGGGCAGGGGGAAACCGCTTTGATAGGATGCTAAAAATAGTTTGAAATACAATTTTACTCTGTGGAAAGCAAGAACTTGATAAAAACGCCTGTCTGACATAAGAAAAGGGTCTCTGAATAACAAGTTCTTTTTTTATCTACAGGGATGTTTCAGATTAGTCATCCCTAACAAGACAAGGTTGATGACATATGGAGTTGGGTAGCGCTGATACGTTGCTTAGCCTTGACAACTTGGTAACTTCTCCTACTTTGATCTTACAGTGCTGCTGTTACCAAAACCATGCAGAACAGATAAATTTTATTTAATACCATTTTACAATGCCTTGGTAAGCCCACAGTTGGAATACTGCATCCAGTTTTGGTCACCGCGATGTAAAAAAGATGCTGAGACTCTAGAAAGAGTACAGAGAAGAGCAACAAAGATGATCAGGGAACTGGAGGCTAAAGCATATAAGGAACGGTTGCTGGAATTGGGTATGTCTAGTTTAACGAAGAGAAGGACGAGCGGGGAGATGATAGCAGTATTCCAATATCTCAGGGGCTCCCACAAAGAAGAGGGAGTCAAGCTATTCTCCAAAGCGCCTGAGGGCAGGACAAGAAGCAACGGGTGGAAACTAAGCAAGGAGGGAAGCAACCTAGAACTAAGGAGAAACTTCCTGACAGTTAGAACAATTAACCAGTGGAACAATCTGCCTCCAGAAGCGGTGAATGCTCCAACACTGGAGGTTTTTAAGAAGAGACTGGACAGTCTTTTGTCCGAAATGGTATAGGGTTTCCTGCCTGAGCAAGGGGTTGGACTAGATCAGTGATGGCGAACCTTTTAGAGACCGAGTGCCCAAACCCCAACCCAAATCCCACTTATTTATCGCAAAGTGCCAGGGCTGCATTAGCACTGTGGTGCCCTCATGGGGGGGCAGGGAGGCGCCTCTGAGTGCCGCCTTTGGCATGCAAAAACCGGGGGCGCAAAAATGGGCTACCGTGCTGCAAGGCCATGTCATGGGGTGCAGATACAAGGCGCTGCACCATGCAAGAACAGGGCAGGGCTAGTGAGTATCACGCAGGCACTAGCCCCACCCCATTTGCAGCACGTGCGTGCTCGCAGCCCCGTGCATGCATGCATGCATGTAAAATGCTTCCTCCTCCCTTTTCTTCCAGTCCACCAATTGACAATGGTTGGTGACCTCTGCTCTACCACCTCCGCCTCCTTTGTGCTGGGCGGGGCTCCTGCTCCGGGCGGCAGTGGTGGCCTGATGCACCTGCTGCTGGCGGCGATGGCGCGTGTGCCAACAGAGAGGGTTCTGAGTGCCGCCTCTGGCACGTGTGCCATAGGTTTGCCACCACTGGACTAGATGACCTCCAAGGTCCCTTCCAACTTTATTATTATTATTATTATTATTATTGTTATTGTTATTGTTATTGTTATTGTTATTGTTATTATCATCATCATCATCTCCACACTGGCATTAAGGGGCTCTTGACTAGGCTTTATGATGTGGTCTTGCTTCAAAAGGAGACCCTGCGGATTTTACTCCGTTAGTTATTGTCAACTCTAGGGGGTGGTTCTCCGTTTCAAGGCCATGGAGCCAGCTCTGTCCAAAGGCATTTCTGCAGTCATGTGGCAAGCATGACGTCACGGAGCAGCGCAGTAGCTCAGCAGTTAAGACACTGGGCTTGTCGACTGGAAAGCCGGCAGCCCGGGTTGGAGACCTGAGCACCATACAAAGCGGTGAGCTCCCGTCCTCGCCCCAGCTCCTGCCAACCTGACAGTTCGAAAGCATGCAAATGTGAGTAGATAAATAGGTACCACTTTGGTGGGAAAGTAACAGCTTGTTTCAAAAAACCCTCTTGGAAATCCATTTCAGGGCACTATCCACGGCAATTTTCCCCACATTTTCCCATTCTTTTTCTTTTTTTAAATTGGAAAGTATCTTTTAGGGAGAAAAAGATGGCATGGTTACATTAAAATATGAAGATCCCACTACTGTCAAGTAGGATAGAGAAAAATTGACTCTAATTCCTTGTCTGTTTAGAAACAGCAACCCTTTTTAATCTTCTAAAACCCCGAAGTTGCTACTGTTAAAAGTTTTTGTTATTGCCTTGGATAGTCGTTCACTAAAAAAAAAGAAAAGAAGTTTAAAGATGGTATGGTCAGATTACTAGGTTAAAAAGGATTCTATTAATGCAAAACAAGATTGAAATAAATGGATAAGGAAAAATTGGCTTGCTCTGTAGATTGAAATAAATGGCTAAGAAAAAAATTGGCTTGCTTTGTAGATTGAAATAAACGGATAAGGAAAAATTGGCTTGCTAAATTATTGTTATAAATAATGCAAGTAGGATAAAGAGTTTGCACCCTGGGCAGAACTGTACTAATCCCTATTTAAGGTAAAACATTTATTACTACTCTTCTTAAAGTTCTGTGGAATTTTCTACCCAATATCTACACCAAAGTGGAATGGTTTCTTTTTAACCCAATCTTCACCACAGTTTACTATATTTTCTAAAGCACCTGAAGGCAGGACAAGAAGCAATGGATGGAAACTAATCAAGGTGAGAAGCAACTTAGAACTAAGGACAAATTTCCTGACAGTGAGAACAATTAATCAGCAGAATGAGTTGCCTCCAGAAGTTGAGGGTGCTCCAAAATTAGGTTTTTTAAGGAGAGACTGAAGAACCATTTGTCTGCAATGGTATAGGGTTCCTGCCTGAACAGGAAGTTGGACTAGAAGACCTCCAAGGTCCCTTCCAACTCTGTTTTTCTGTTAAGTCTGGAGTTTGTTTGTTTATATAAATTCTTGTTGGGGGGGTGGGGTGTCTGCTTCTTCACAGGAACAACTGATATATGTTCAAAAAGGCTTACTTGATTTGTTGACTAATATACCAGAAATTCTCTTGCACTGTTTCCTCAAAACTCTGCTCCAGCTACCTATGTAGACTTCACTATCTTCAGACAGACTTCCCACGGGTCTCCTGAATCCAACAGTGGAAATATCCAGAATGTTTTTTCCTACTAGTTTTCCCAAAACTGGGCTCTAGGAAACTGGGCTCCCAAAACTGGGCTCTAGGAAAGCAAAGACAGGTGGACTGATTAAAAATTGTCAGAAGGCTCAAACTTGATCCTTGGCAGCCTATCACATGTATGATTTATTGGGGAATCCTTGGAGGGAAGGATGTGCCAGTAAGATTTTAAATTACCCTTCCTGGTCCTAATGTGCTTTATTTTCCTGAGACAAGTTTCCATTAGAGGAAGACAACAGTCATTTGTTCCTCTGAATATATATGGTAGAATGAGTAGAATGCTTAATATATCCTGCCTTTAGCATAATCTATGATTATGATGATTGACTTCTGCTCTCAACATTATAACACCTGTCTGCTGACTTGGCCTTTGACACAACCTGGAGCGCAAAGAGTCCTCACTGTGTAACAAATATTACCTCCATAAATGATAAACAAAACGGAGAGTGCCCACAAGCTATGCATTATTATTTTTTAAATGTCTGTGTTAGAAGCAGTCCACAATGAAGCACCATTAACACAGAGAGCTTTAGCTGAATAAGCTTATTTTCTGAGTACTAGCAAAAATAAGTCCCAACCAACAGTAGTGAGTAATGCTTGGACAAGTGTAGAGAGCAACAGAGATGACTTTGACAGAAATGTGCAAGGAATATTACCTAGACACAGAGTCTGAAATACTATTAATTCTGAGGAAGCAGATCAAGCAAGAGGTCTGTGGAGATTCTCAGTCATCCACGTCATAGTTGTCTCAAAGGTGCTTTTTCAAAAGGCAACTGTTTTCCTTGAAGAAGAAGAAAAACAACCCATTTTGCTTCTCATCCACGAAGCTTCATCAGTTGTGATGGTGGGGAGATGTAAGGATAAATACTGATAGGTACTGTACCTGTAGGATAAGTCCTGTACCTATCCTTTCATCCCCTCACCATCAGAACTGATGAAGCTTCTTCTTCCTCAAGGAAAAAAAACCAGTCCAGTTGCCTTTTGAAAAAGTACCTTTGAGATAGATCAAACAGATGTATCCCTAATTCACTGAACTATAAAAAGGAGCATTTTGTTTTTTGATTCTGTTATTATAATCAATCTCAATAAGATATAGTTCTGGTCTTGCTGTGGAGCTAATTTTCTACTCTATTCAAAGCACAATTGGAGGAATGTTCATAAACTCTTCTCACAATTTTACCTTTGCCCTGATGTTATGCTTGTCCAGAGTAGGAACTGACTATTATGTACAGAGGATGCCATCTACTTCCCATGTCTAAAATTATTCACCTCCTTAAAGTTTTGCACAAAGGAAACTGACAAGATGCAAGCATCACTCCCAACTTAAAGCATATGACTTAAGTGGAGTCCTGGCCAAAGAAGTGGAATCACAAATTAGTTTATGGAAAGTATTAACTTGTTTGGTCCAAGAACTATAATCAGTCCTTATTTTTATGTATGGTTTGACAAAATATGTAGGTTTTGTATTTTAAAGGTTTTTCAAGACGATGCCAATTCTGATGTCAGCTGTTTGTTTTTTTAAAATCAAACTGTGTTGATTTCAGCAAAGCTAAGACCTGGCTAATTCTTTTATGGGAATATATCAGGAAACTCTAGACTGGGATGTCAAAATAATGTGACAAACTATTTCCATACTGTTGACAAGAAAGCAACATAGAGGCCTTCGTGAAGTCCCAGCAGTTGAACTTGAGTTGAGTAAGACTTCACTGATTTAAGAGTCACATTAAGGAACCAGGAAGTTTGTAAAGTACTGTAGGTAAAGTGTGGTGCAACATGCAAGTAATTTCCACTACTACCACCTCCATCCACAAATATTCAAAGAAGTGAAGGTTCTTATGGGCTAAGCGGGACAGTTGTTAAGTGAGTTTTGCCCTATTTTATGACCTTTCTTGCCATGGTTGTTAAATGAACCACTGCCCTTTAATTAGTAGCATGGATGTTAAGTGAATCTGGCTTCTCCATTGACTTTGCTCATCAGAATGTCGCCAAAGGTGATCCCATGACCCCAGGACACATGCCAGTTGCACAAGCTTGTCAGAATACTGATCAAGTGACCATGGGGATGCTCAACGGTCGCAAGTGTGAAAAATGGTCACAAGTCAGTTTTTTCAGTGCTATTGTAACTTGGAGCACTCACTAACAAACTGTTGTAAGTCAAGGACTACCTGTTTGGTGATCCATACAAAGGATAACTGCAAATTACACGTGTAAACCAGAAGGGGAATAGAAGGCTAAACCCTTGCAATTCTCTTTTTTAAAATATTCATTATTCAAGTCTAGCATGGCTAAGGAACATTAATTAAAAACTAATGTTACCCTATAAAACAAAAGACCATCACACACACACACACACACACACACACACACACACTCAAAATTTGTGGCTGGCAAAGAGTTAGTGGGAGACTAGTATAGCTATTTCAGGCTCATTAGCCCTCATCAGCTAGTCACACCCTTCAGGGATTCGAACCTGGGCAGCTTGCATGTTAGGCAGCTGTATTACCCTTTTGAGCCACAGGTTCCCCCTTACTCCTGTCAGCAGGGAGGATATATATCTTATCTGTTGGGTGAGGCACCTGGTCTACCAAATATGAGCCTGAAATAGCTATACTAGTCTCCCACTAACTCTTTGCCAGCCACAAATTTTGAATTTATAGTGTTCACAGTATGTGACGTCTGCCTGCAAAAACATGCTCCTAGATTGGAGCGAAACGCAGAACAGACTGATTTATATTTGGGATATCTATCTATCTATCTATCTATCTATCTATCTATCTATCTATCTATCTATCTATCTATCTATCTATCTATCTATCTGTGTGGAATCCATTAGGAAGATAATTTGCTGGATAGTTCACACTTTTCTAATTATAGATTTCCATCTTGACTTTTTTGGACTCGCTCAGACATATTCTTCCCCTCTCGCCACCATTTGCTTGATAATTCTTGATGAGCTAATGGAATAGCCTAATGGCATTGAGTTGACCTTGTGAGCCTGTTGATGGCTCATTTCTAGCTGTTCAATTTCAATCTCCTGTTTTCTGGAGACAGATTGTTGAAATTAGACCTGCCTAATGAAAAATGGTATGATACCTCAGCAATTAACGAAATATCTCAAATAAAACCATACTTTATTACGCCATAAAATCGAGGAAATAAAGCAAATTAAATTATAATGAGAGGCCTGCTGGATGGGAATCATTGCACCATAACTTTCCTCATCATCTTTCTCCCCTTCTTTAATAAAGATCGGAGAAATTTTCCAATAACATCGGCGATGGAGAAAAATTGGACTCTTCTGTTTTGTGGAACTGGGTATTTAGGAGAAACAAAAATCAAAATTACATCTACAGTAGTGGCTAAAATTGTGGAAACCTTTTGGGAAAAGTGTATTTTTGAGGTTTGATGGCTAATAACACCATTTTGGGGGGACTAGTACCATAAAATTATATATCAATGGAAAGATAATTTAATCAAGAATGTAATGCAACAAAGTTTGTTCAATTATCTGTACTGTATTCTATGAAAAGTTATAGTCAAATAACCGGAAAAAGGAAGCACAACTTGCATAAGTTGATATCAGGTAGCTTTCCTTTATCTGATTGTAGCCAATGAGCATGAGTATTTAGAGAGCCAATCAGGTGTCATCTTGTTTTGGGAATGAGCCAATCAGATCACAGTAGGATTCAGTTATTGATGTCATGTATTGAATCTGAGAGGAGGACATTTGTCAGTGTGTTATGTGATCGCTATCAAGTTGGTTGCAGTTTTTTGTGTTCTTTCATTTAGTGAGCTTGTAAAACATAATAAAATTAAAGTAACGGTGCAAAGAGTTGACTGGTTGCCCAGAAAGCAATGTAAAATAATATTATTAAGTGAACAAGGCTACAGTTATAAAGAAATTAGAAGAAAAATTGGGTGGAAACTTAACCAAAGGTGGGATTTCTACTGTAGACTTTTCCCAAAAGGTTTCCACAATTTTGGCCACTACTGTAGCTCTCACATTGCCAAAAATAGAATGGGTGAGTTAACTGAACATATTATAATTACAAGGTAGAAAAAAAGAGGTGATTTTGTAATAATGCACAGTATTTAAGCCTATGGTTTCAGAAATAAACCACAAAAGACAATCTACTGAGTATGCCTCAGTAAATTAATGCTTATACTCTCAGAGTCCAAGCTTTACTTACTCCCTGTTGAAAGAGATCTAATGGCAAGGACATCAGGTTTTAAAAAATGTAAATTCCAACCTTGATTAGAATCTATCTTTTATGAACATCACACAAGTAGCCCAAAGGCAGAAAACTGAAGCAAAGTAAAATATGGTAATTCTCATCTTAACAAAAGTTTAATTTAAAATGATGTACTAAAATCTGATTACTCTGATTTTTTTTTCTTGGGGGAAATTACAGATACATTGGAAAGAAAAAGCAGAAGGAAGAAAAAAAACATTTAGCATACATTTTGAAAAGAAGTAAAAATCACCCAGATAATACTTTGCATTAGTAAAGAAATAAAAAACATGCAACATAATTTAGCAAAAGAAAGAATATTATGAAGTTGGTAGCTAAGTAATTAAATAGTATCTGGTACAAACAGTGGTTGCAATTACACTTCATAGCTAAAAAGAACTGTTCAGCATTTTGATTAGGTATAAATGTCATGATATGTTGGTCATATCTACTTGGTCCCTTCTTCTTCCAGAGAGAATGGCTAAACCAATCATAGCTCTGTTTATCAAGATATGCAAACTAGGAATCTAATTTTTATTTGCCAGTAATAAGTCAAAGTCAGAAGGCATTATTTTTCATTAATTTCCATTCCGATTCCTGTCTCCTTTGCAGAGAGAAATTAGAAAATCCTGTTTGTATGTTACAGAAACTTCCCTATTAGTTGTTTAGCAGAATAAACCAAATAAGAGAGAGAAAGAAGCACAGACCAGAACATTTACGCTTATTGAATAACTGGGTTATTGTCTATGCAAACATGACCAAGCAGAAGTCATTTTTTTCCAGTTAGGCCCAGAAATTAAATCTTATGAGGGTGGAAATCTTTTATCATTTTTAAAGTACCAAGTTCCTGGTTTTTAAACCGTTCAGAATAAGCAGCAATTAGAACAGAACAGAATAACAGAGTTGGAAGGGATCTTGGAGGTCTTCTAGTCCAACCCCCTCCTCAGGCATTTCAGACAAATGGTTGTCCAATCTGTTAAAAACTTCCAGTGTTGGAGCAGTCGCAACTTCTGGAGGCAAACGGTTCCACTGATTAATTGTTCAAACACTGATTAATTATTCTGATTAATTGCACAAGTGGAAGATGTCTTACTTCTTTCAATAATATGTATGACCCATTGTGAGCCCAAGGGTAAAAAGTCAGTATCGGCCATTTTTTAGGTAGAGCACAACAGAAGTTTCATCTCTTGGATGCCTGGTGGAATGTTTCCTGACAGATACGATCAAAGTCAGAGGTTGAGAGGATTTTGGAGTACCATTACATCATTTTTACAGTTCCAGATAAAATACTTTTAGGGACTAAAAATGAATATAGAGCAGGGGTGTCAAATTGCCGGCCCGCGGAACGGATGCATCATCGTGAAACCGCGCCCACCCCATTGCTGGCAATGAGAAAAAAGTTGCGATACGTCGCGACACGTCACGTGACATTGCGAGTTTGACACCCCTGATATAGAGAAAACCAGAGAAACGCTTACCTGTTGGAGCCATCTTTCATGTGGACTTTTGCATATAGAACATCAATCATGGCTGGGTCATCGTTCATGTACTCTATACCTCTTATTTCCACAGTTAGCGGTTTGCCTTCAGTAATTGTGCTATTAAAAAAAAAAAAAGAGGGGGTGAACATACCAAATGGTTCATTCTGGACTTTAGCTAGCAATTACATATTTTGCTACTTCAACTGCGTTAGACATAAGAAGCACCACAAGCCCAAGTGTAAGTAACCTGCTGCTGCTGTTCAATTTAATATGATTGAATGCTATTAGTTCCCTATGGATGTTCCCCATTTTCGGTTCCTAAACTTGTCTTTGCTATTTCTGAGTTATTGGCTATAGTGATGGGTATTCCTTGTGAAGTCACATTTTTGTCCTTCCATGCCAGCAGATATTCAAAGAGCTCTAATTTAGGTACAACACTAGTGATAGTAAACAGTAATAACCATTCTTAAGAATTACTATGATCCTTTAACATGTATTCAAGGGCTGCTGTAGTCATATTCATGAAGTGCATCACATTAAATTTAATTTATTTCTTTGGCACGGTGACCTTTGGCATGCCACTCAAATGCCACTGCAATCTTTTACCTGGACTATAATTGTAGCTTTAGATTTGCCCCGTCAGCATTTACAGGTTGTAAGAAGAAAAATGGAATTCTGCTGTTATTATATAGGTTATAAACCTTCCAGACAGCTACTGCATCGGTTTTAAACATGGCACGGCATTAATATTAAGAAATGTTAAATAATACAAGGAATTATACTATCTTTCATATAAAACTGAAAGGCCAACATTTTCTAATATTAAAAGCTGAGGTTTTTTTTATCCATGTGCAGTTCTACACATAGCAAAATTCACAGCAAATTTATTTTCCCTTAGCAATAATGGCAATAACGGTTTTTCAATACAGCAGACGTAATTGTCCTTGTGGCTGTTGTTGCTCTGCATTATAACAATATCATATCTCCACTTGTAAAGAGCTAGAGTTCAAATGACAGAGGGGGGTATCCTGTCTTGGCAGAGTGAAGTCAAAGGGGCAGGGATTAGAGCAGCGGTCCCCAACCTTTGTGCATTGATGGTTCAGCTTGGGGGGGGGAGAGGGAAACATGGCCGTGCTAGCTGCCAGCCGGTGCACATGCGTGTGAGTGCTGGTCCGCCTCTCACACGAGTGGAGCTGCGCGTGCCAACCTCACTCTCACATGGCCTGGTTCCGAACAGGCCACGGCCCGATAGTGGGCCACGGCCTGGGGGTTGGAGACCCCTGGACTAAGGAGAGCTGGATCCCTGATTTTTGAAAAGCCATAATTAAGAGAATTGGTGTAATAAAAGGGATCGCAGTTGTCAAACTTTGCTGTGTAATACTGTACTTGTGTTTTATTTATTGCCTCTCTTCCACTATTTTGTTATATGAGTGTGAAAAGCGTGTGATACAACTGAGTTGAGAAAAGGGTAAAGATGTTATTATACTGGTGGTAAAGACGGTAATAGTTTGGGAGAACTGAATATTGTAAGAATAGAGAATATATGGCTAGAAGCTATTATTCTCTCTGGTTTCTCATGGGGGGGGGGAGATTTGTTGCAAGCTATAGAAATACCACCCTACTTAGCAGAACACCCACCAGAGAGTCAAACTGAAGACTTTTACATGGTGTTGAGTCAACAGCCTATCTAAGCAAGCTCGCTTTTAAAATGATATTGGAGAACTTTGATATAGTCATCAACAATTCATACTAAGAGTATGTTAGAACAGAGGTCCCCAACCTTTTGGGCACTAGGGACCGGTTCCATGGAGAAAGGTTTTTCCGCAGACTGGAGAGTGTATGGTTTTGTGTGCTGCCTGCATCCCACAGATGGGCCTTTGCTTTTTTGTGCGGCCCAGTTGCTGGCATGCCGCGGTCCGGTACCGGTCCATAGACCGGAGGTTGGGGACCCCTGTGCTAGAAGATCTGTCTCAGCATTTCATAGCCACCACCCTGAGACCATCTCAAATGGTCACTGGCCATATATCCTAAATTAAATCTTTGGGGAGATGAAGAGCACAAATGGATTAACTGGGGGTAGGTGGGTGAGCATTAAAGTTATTCCACTGTCAAAGTCATAGCCTCATCTGGTGAAATTTGGTCTCAGTTTCTATCCTCTCCATTAAGATTAGCCTGTCTCTGGGGATTATGAAGTCTAACAGGCTCTTGAATAATCCATGGGAATTTATAGGTGCAAAGTCAGTAAATTCTTCAATGAGTCTTCACCTCTACTGGCCTATACATTTACTAAGGCCATCAGGCAGGTCTGGCTGCTTGTGGTTCAGCTTGCTTTATTATCATCTCGTGGTTACTCACCAAAAAACTCCTTCTTTATGGCTGCATCTATCCTCTGGAATGTTCTTCCCCAAGGAGGCACTTACTGTTAAATCTTTTCAGCATCTAATAAAGATGCATTTCTTCACTTAGGCCTTCCTTATCATAATGCTCTTTTTTCCCCTTTTATTTATTTATTTATTTATTTATTTATTTATTTATTTATTTATTTAGTTCTTGGCGTATTCAGGTCTTTTCCCGTGTAAGATTGAGAGTATCTTGGCGACATGTATTTAATATATATATTAAATACACACACACAAACACACACTGTTACTATTTTAATTCATTGCCATTTGTAATTTTTCATTCTCCTTATTTGCATGCTAGGGTTGAGATTTTTACATAAAATGTGGCATAAAAATCTAATAAATGCATGCTAAATTAAGGTATCATCTCCTGATTTCAATTAGTAACAAATAAACAAGGCTCCCGTGATACCAAAGGGGAGTCATAAGTCTTAATATTTTGGCTGGCCTTAACAAACATATGCAGCAAATTTGTTATTGCTACTAACGCTGTCACTATGGATTGTATCTCTGACATTACTCTGAAACTAGGAAGCTGTGAATGGCTCTGTTTAATTATATGTGTATAATTATTTAGAGTGCCTCTTGTTTAATTAGCGAGGGAAATAATGCAAATACAATATATCAAACACAGGAGCATCAAGGAGTAGACTAATAACTCAGAATTATCAATAAGGATAGAAACCAGCATAATAAGCTCATAAATATCAAATTATGCTTAGCTGTTATAGGACCCATTTGATGGCTTCAGTGAACGAAGCCATTAGTACTACATTCAACAGGGATGGGGAACTATGGCCCCTTTATGACCTATTGACTTTAACTCCCAGAATTCCTGGGAATTGATATCCACAGGTCATAAAGGGACTATAGTTCCCCACTCCTGACATTCAGGATAGAATGCTACAGACTTGAGGGGCTTCATGTTATTAATTGTTCTCACTAGTAACCTCACTGGCTGAGTTGAGACGATGCACTACATTAAGCTACTCCTTGTTTTAACCATGGTTTACTGAATAAGCACCCACTGGAAAAATTGACATATCAGACTAAGCCAATATCCTGTCCTAGATCAGGATTAGAGTTTGGAAGTGACAAACACACAGTAATACGTTGTACGCATTAATTTCCAAAATGATTATTAGGGAGCAGAGAAACACACAGAGAATTACGCCAGGGATACCGTACCTAGATTGCAGAAACTTGATACTCATTAGATGGCAGCAATGTTACAAAGAACACACTAACTCGTTGCTGTCACCTAGTAGTAATGTGGATTTCTGCAGTCCAGACATGGTGATCCTGGATTAAGTAGTTAGTAAATTGATCCAGAAGTCAAAAGTCGAAAGCTAAACTTTAATCTGAACAACTTTTCAAATGGCAAAAGCAAAAGAACAAAATCTGGGGACCAGGCAGAGAAGACTCCATCAAATAATCAAGATCCATGGCATATAAGTAACTAGTTATAAAGAAGAGATATTATTTCTAACAGTAAGATAATCTCAGACTTGTTTTATACTTGAGGCTACAGCTATCTCACCCACACTTAGCTGCTATTTATTGAGCCTGACCCTTCTGCAAGGCCATCCAGGGTTTACTCAAATAGACTTTCATTTACAGCATGTTCTCCCTTGTCTTCTGATACTCAACCAGATATTATTCATGGGCTCACTGCCTGAACAAGTGAATCTAGTTCATCACTGGGACAGGGAGGACAGGTTAAGGCTCATGACCTTAAGGATTTCCCTTCTATCCATTTTTCCAAAAAAATCTGGTGAAATAGAGTTGAGAGAAAGTGACATGCCCACAGTCACTCAGTGAACTTCCATAGCTGAGAGTAGATTTCATGAATGTTGTCCAGTCCCCTTAATCACTATACAGTAAGTCCTTGACATAACAACAGTTCATTTAGTAACTGTTCAAATTTATAATGGCACTGAAAAAAGTGACTTACGATCGTTTTTCACATGACCATTGCGGCATCCCCATGGTCACGTGATCAAAATCCAGACTCTTGGCAACCGACTCACATTTATGACGGTTGCAGTGTCCCGGGGTCACGCGATCCCCTTTTACAACCTTCTGACAAGCAAAGTCAAAGAGGAAGCCAGATTCACTCAACAACCATTTTACTAACTTAACAACTACAGTGATTCACTTAACAACTGTGGCAAGAAAGGTCGTAACATTAACAAATGTCTCACTTAATAACAGAAATGTTGGGCTCAATTGTGATCGTAAGTTGAGGTCTACCTGTAGTACGCTCGTGACACATTTCAGTTGTCTTGCCTTTTGCAATTTCCACATTCTTACAATTGCATTTTTTATCATCAGAGGTTTTGTTACTAATTTTAAAAAGAGGTTAATCACAAAAGAGCTCATTTGTAAAGTCTGGGTATATCCTAAATTCTAAGCTAGAAATCACTGCACTAGAAAGCTCTTGTAAAAATATTACGAACGCAACTGCACTGAGGGGTGGGGGAAGAGGACCTTTATTTATCATCCTACATCTCAAACCGCATGCCTTTGTGCAGTGCTTTCCGACAACTTCTGCCCTTCAGAGGCACTGAGCTATTGTTTTAGGACTGATTTCTTACACGCGTTGTGTACTTTCAATGTTCTCTGCCTACAGCTTTTTAAAGAAATGAATCTCAGGGATATACAACCATCCGGGGCGAAAAGAATTATTGGCCAAACACTCTGCTAGTACAAAGTGTGAAGGTAATCACATTTTTCATCCACCTCCATGGAAAAAAATCAGTCTTTGCTTATGCACAAAATCACTGCAAGAAAAAAAAAGTAGCCAGAGATTAATTAAAAAATGACAAGGAAAAAAAAAAGTTTCTAGTAGAGGAAAACTTGAAGAATTAGGATAGGGACCGATTGTCATGGAGAAAAATCTATCAATATCAACATCAACTTGACGGCACATAATCAATCAATCAAAAGGGATTCTATCAAATAGCTTGTTGACTGATGTCATAAACAAAACCCAACTGAGTCCTTGGTCTTTAAATAGTTGGAGTTGCTTGCTACAATTTCTTACAATTCTATATTTTTTTCTATTCAATTCTCTCCATAGATGCTTCTTCTTTGGACAAATCTAGACAATTTCTTCTCTCTTCTACTACCAAGCTTCTGTTTTACTTACTTGACAAGGTCTTCTCTACACTTCTGCAGGAGTTCCTGGGCTTTATGGATTTCTTGTTCATTCAGAAGTACCAGTGTCCCAATAGTCAGATGGAGTTTTGCTGGGTTCTGGAATAGGCTACTGCTGACTCCACAGTCCTATAAAAATATTAGGCATTCCTCAAGTGAGAAAAATGTACATTAGAAACTCCATAAGCATTCATTATAGGTAGTTCTTGACTTATGACCACAATGGAGCCCAGAATTTCTGTTGTTAAGTGAGACGTTGGTTAAGTGAATTTTGCCCTATTTTACGACTCTTCTTGCCACAGTTGCTAAGTGAATCACTGCAGTTGATAAGTTAGTAACATGGTTGTTAACTGACTCTGGCTTCCCCATTGACTTTGTTTGTGAAAATGTTGCAAAAGGGGATCACGTGACCTTGGGACACAGCAACGGTCATAAGTATGAACCAGTTGCCAAGCATCTGAATTTTGATCACATGATCATAGGGTTGCTACAAAGGTCATAAGTGTGAAAAACGGTTCTAAGTCACTTTTTTTTAGTGCCGTTGTAACTTTGAACTGTCACTAAATGAACTGTTTTGTATTTTTGGGCATGACAAGTCATAATTTGCATTGAACAAAGACAGATTCAAGTATGGGGAGCATGGAAGCACTAGAGTTTCCAAACTAGCATTTTCCGAAGCACCTGAAGACAAGACAAGAAGCAACAGATGAAAACTAACAAAGGAGAGAAGCAATCTAGAACTAAGGACAAATTTCCTGACAGTGAGAACAATCAATCGGTGGAATGGCTTGCTTTCAGAAGTTGTGGGAACTCCATCATTGGAGACTTTTAAGAAGAGACTGGACAGTCACTTGTGTGAAATGGTATAGGGTCTCCTGCTTGAGCAGGAGGTTGAAGTAGAAGACCTCCAAGGTCCTTCCAACTATAATAATAATAATAATAATAATAATAATAATAATAATAATAATAATAATAATAATAATAATAATAATAATGATGATGATGATGATGATGATGATGATGATGATGATGATGATGATGATAATGATGATGATGATGATGTTATTATTATTATTATAAAGTTGGAAGGGACCTTGGAGGTCATCTGGTCCAACCCCATGCTCAGGCAGGAAACTCTATACCATTTCAGACAAATGGCTTTCCAGTCTCTTCTTAAAAACTTCCAGTGTTGGAGCATTCACCACTTCTGGAGGCAGGTTGTTCCACTGGTTAATTGTTCTAACTGTCAGGAAGTTTCTCCTTAGTTCTAGGTTGCTTCTCTCCTTGATTAGTTTCCATCGGTTGGTTCTTGTCCTGCCTTCAGGCGCTTTGGAAAATAGCTTGACTCCCTCTTCTTTGTGGCAGCCCCTGAGATATTGGAACACTGCTATCATGTTCCCCCTCGTCCTTCTCTTCGTTAAACTAGTATTGATCCCCAAATAACAGAAGCCTGATATAGGCCACTCCTTGGCATTTTTTGAGATTCTCCTGCCACGGAGAAATTTTCAAAACATAATACAAAGAGCAATACTGCTCCATATTCTATGACTGCAATCATGACTCTCAAATCTCCAGACCTTCATTTTTTTAACATGGTAAATGGGAATGCTACCTCTCATGGTAGACTCAAAACTGTTAAGAAAAAGCTGGAGAATTCCCAGGAGTTGATGCAGTGATGGGATTCAGATGCTTTGCACTGCTTCAGCAGAACCGGTAGCTAATTTTTTGTTGACTTCGCCGAACTGACTGAAGCCCTAGCCCTTTTTCGCAAGGCCCAGAATGGACTGCCGGAAGTACATGGATGCCACTTCCAGAAGTCCGTTCTGAGCTTCGGAGGCTTCAGGGAGGCCTCCCAGGCCCAGAACGGCCCACCGGAAGTGTGTGGACGCCACTTCCGGAAGTCTATTCTGAGCCTTGGAGGCCTGGAGGAGGCCTCCCAATCACAAAACAGACCACCAGAAGTGCGTGGATGCCACTTCTGGAAGCCTGTTCTGAGCCGGGGAAGCCTCCCAGGCCCAGAACGGCCCACTGGAAGTGTGTGGACGCCACTTCTGGAAGTCTATTCTGAGCCTTGGAGGCCTGGAGGAGGCCTCCCAATCACAAAACAGCCCACCAGAAGTGCGTGGATGCCACTTCCAGAAATCTGTTCGGAGCCTCGGAGGCCTGGGGGAGGCCTCCCAGGCACAGAACGGCCCACCGGAAGTGCATGGATGCCACTTCTGGCCCAGGTCCAGAACAGAGTTCCAGAAACGGCATCCATGCAGAGAACTGGTTGTTCAGGTATTTGAATCCCACCACTGAGTTTACGCCTGTTTTTCCCCTCCCCATCCTTTAATTACTATCAAAACAAAGTTGAGAAAAATCTCTAAAGCCCATCTGGGTGAAAGTTGATTTAGATATCTTCCAAAGCTCAGTATCTATTTTTATGAACTTTTCTTAATCTTAAAAATCAAAGCCTAGCAACAGAAGCTATTATAGTCTATAACGAACACCAGGAGCACTGGAAGCTGGTGAAACAGCAGGGAGCAGATCTGATGGATTCCAATTATTGGCAGCAGTTCATTTTAATTTCTGTAATGCTTGCAGTTATAATGAGCACAAAATATATTAACACAATAAATAAGCATAGGAAAAGAGCATATTCTATCTAATCCCATAGAGAAGGAATGGTGGCAAAAAAGCCCCTGAATTTATGTTATAATTACTATCAGTTTAAATAGCTGAATTTTTCCTTTACAGCTTTCCAGGAATCAAAGTCATCTTCCATGCCAACAACTTTCTACCTGTCTTTTTCTACTCTCTACTGCAGAAGAGAAGGCTGGAAAGCTTTACTGCGGTTAGTCCTCAAGGTACTATGATCTTGCTTGCCATAATCGTTAAGTGAATTTCTGCAGTTGTTAAGTGAATCATTCAGTTGTTAAGCAAATCTGACTTCCCCAATGGACTTTTGCTTGTCGGAAGCCAGCTGGGAAATTTACAAATGGTGATTACATGACTCCAGGCAGTGCAACTGTTATTAATACATGCCAGTTGCCAAGCGCCCAAATTTTGAACATTAGTCTGTGGGGACGCTGTGATGGTCATAAGTGTGAAAAACAGTCATAAGTCACTTTTTTCTGCACCATTGTAACTTTGGACAGTCACTAAATGAATAAGTCAAGGACTAGCTAAAATAGAAACAAAGGTTCATTTAGCCAACTTTTAAAATAACGTGGGAATATAACAAGTGTTGCTACAAGTGTTTACTAGTATTTCTAAAATTAGTATCTGCTGCTTTACTATCCAGGCTGCCAGTTTCCAATGAAATTCTGTAGGTCTTGAAATATGCCAAGCCAATGCTATTTCTACTAAAAACTCTTTGGCAAAGTTGAAGCAGATTGTTCTAGGTTTTGATTTTTGCTTGTCTAGTAAACAGAGCTCTGTCTAAATACTTAGGTCATCATTTATAGTTTTGCAATGAATTTAATTATTCTGAGCTGTACTGACCGCTTTTATTTAAAACTGCACTCAGCAAATTCCTTTAAATCTTAATAAACTTGAATATCCTAAAATTGAACAATTAACATCGAAGAAGACCAAGCTATATTAAGTAGTGGAAGTTTAAGAAAGATAAACATTCATTCATTCATTCATTCATTCATTCATTCATTCATTCATTCATTCATTATATCTTGCTACAATCAAGGATGAAAACTCTAAAAACATTTGTAGTAAAGTGTATGTTTACATTCAACCTTTTTTTTCTAGCATGCAAGTAGGACAAACTAAATTGGAGTCTTATACTAAAAAGGAAGCTATTAATAACCTCTGGCTTATTGCTTCTAACAAATTCCTTATAAACTCAGTTACGATGTAAGCATGTGTTAGTAAGCATCAATTATCTTATGAGACAACAAACAAATAAGAGTATTTGGAATGGTCAAGGGTTCCATGCATACTAATGGTTCATATTGGGAATAAATAATGAATTCCAAACTGGGCTTCATAGGAAAGTCTACAGAGTTGTCGGGCTGCCAGCAGTTACAAACAGACTCAAATCCAGGAAGCCCCCACTGGTACTTGCACAACATCTACCCAACAATTTTAACATTGATTCTCACTGGAAAGCCAAATGGGTTGCTGAACGCCCACTCATACTGTAGGAAGATATATAAATGACCCCACAAAAATGTTGCCAGGCTTTGAACTACCACGTCAGCAATGGACAATGCTGAATAGGATTCGAACCTCACAAGGTTATCTGCCGGGACTCTCTGTATAAATGGGGCACAGTATCCTCCCCTCAGTGTGACCGCAGAGTCCCATATCAAACCATAGGTCACATAGTGCCTGGCTGTAAGCTGAGGGCATATACCAGTCCAGTATCTGGTGTTTTAAATATAAACAATGCTGCGCTTCAGTGGTTAGATGGCCTAGCCCAGGGGTAGGCAACCTTGGCTCCTTTATGACTCGTGAACTTCAATTCCCAGAATTCCTGAGCCAGCCATGCTGGCTCAGGAATTCTGGGAGTTGAAGTCCACGAGTCATAAAAGAGCCAAGGTTGCCTACCCCTGGCCTATCCCTAGACATTGGTATTTGAACATAGATCATTTTAACATTTATATTTTATTGTGTTCTGCTAACCTAGATGAAATGTTAGTATATATTGCTAGTCCATATATGCTATGCTATGTGCTAAATAAATTAATTAATTGGACTTCATATATGCATATGGAACCTTGGGTAACCATCAAACAGATAAAGTTATCTTCTCATACAAAGTACCATGCTCACAGATAGCACTGCATAAATATTAAGACTCCATACAGAACGTGTTTAGGCAAATTCATTTGGCCTGATATCACGCAATTAGTCAGAATCATCTGTACAAATAGTTTCCAGATCTCATTTGAAAGATAATTTCCTCTAATAAGTCACTACATTGAGCAGAAGCAGAATAAAATGAAACTATAAAGGCACCCAAAGGATTACAGCACAACTGTAGTATCCTTCCATTGATTCTTATAAACAATTTCCAGTTTGCTCCTCAAAATGTGTAATTGAGATTTATTTATTTCACAGCTATTACATATCATCCCAATCATATGAACGCACAAAATATCACAAAATGCAGCAATTTAGTAATAAAG